GTCCCCGCCGGGTCCATCCCTGTCCCCGTGTCACCGTGGGGTCTGTCCCCATCCCTGTCCCCACGTCACAGTGGGGTCCCTGTTCCCACCCCTGTCCCCATGTCACTGTGGGGTCTGTCCCCATCCCCATGTCACAGCAGGGTCCCTGTCCCCATGTCACTGTGGGGTCCCCATCCCTCCCTGTCCCCATGTCACTGTGGGGTCCCCATCCCTGTCCCCGTGTCACTGTGGGGTCTGTCCCCATCCCCGTGTCACAGCAGGGTCCCTGTCCCCATGTCACTGTGGGGTCTGTCCCCATCCCCGTGTCACAGCAGGGTCCCTGTCCCCATGTCACTGTGGGGTCTGTCCCCATCCCCGTGTCACAGCAGGGTCCCTGTCCCCATGTCACTGTGGGGTCTGTCCCCATCCCCGTGTCACAGCAGGGTCCCTGTCCCCATGTCACTGTGGGGTCTGTCCCCATCCCCGTGTCACAGCAGGGTCCCTGTCCCCATGTCACTGTGGGGTCTGTCCCCATCCCCGTGTCACAGCAGGGTCCCTGTCCCCATGTCACTGTGGGGTCTGTCCCCATCCCCGTGTCACAGCAGGGTCCCTGTCCCCATGTCACTGTGGGGTCTGTCCCCATCCCCGTGTCACAGCAGGGTCCCTGTCCCCATGTCACTGTGGGGTCTGTCCCCATCCCCGTGTCACAGCAGGGTCCCTGTCCCCATGTCACTGTGGGGTCTGTCCCCATCCCCGTGTCACAGCAGGGTCCCTGTCCCCATGTCACTGTGGGGTCTGTCCCCATCCCCGTGTCACAGCAGGGTCCCTGTCCCCATGTCACTGTGGGGTCTGTCCCCATCCCCGTGTCACAGCAGGGTCCCTGTCCCCATGTCACCATGGGGTCTGTCCCCATCCCCATCCCCACGTTACAGTGGGGTCCCGTGTCCCAGCGGGGTCCCCGTGTGACGGGGGTGTCCCCATCCCTGTCCCCTTGCCACCATGGGGTCTGTCCCCATCCCCATGTCACAGCGGGGTCCCTGTCCCCATGTCACAGTGGGGTCCCCATCCCTGTCCCCATGTCACCATGGGGTCTGTCCCCATCCCCATGTCACGGTGGGGTCCTTGTCCCCATCCCTGTCCCTGTGTCACAGCAGGGTCCCCGTGTCACCGTGGGGTCTGTCCCCATCCCCGTGTCACAGCAGGGTCCCTGTCCCCATGTCACAGTGGGGTCCCCATCCCTGTCCCCTTGCCACCATGGGGTCTGTCTCCATCCCCGTGTCACAGCAGGGTCCCTGTCCCCATGTCACAGTGGGGTCCCCATCCCCATCCTCATGTCACAGCGGGGTCCCCATGTCACAGTGGGGTCCCCATCCCCATCCCTGTGTCACCATGGGGTCTGTCCCCATCCCCATCCCCGTGTCACAGCAGAGTCCCTGTCCCTGTGTCACAGTGGTGTCCCCACCCTGTCCCCACATCACAGCGGTGTCCCTGTCCCCATCCCCGTCCCCATGTCACAGTGGGGTCCCCATCCCTGTCCCCATGTCACCATGGGGTCTGTCCCCATCCCCATCCCCATGTCACAGCGGGGTCCCTGTCCCCATCTCTGTGGGGTCTGTCCCCATCCCCACATCACAGTGGGGTCTGTCCCTGTCCCCGTGTCACAGTGGGGTCCCCGTGTCACCGTGGGGTCCCTGTCCCCATCCCCATCCCCACATCACAGCAGGGTCCCCGTGTCACAGCAGGGTCCCTGTCCCCACATCACAGTGGTGTCCCCATCCCTGTCCCCATCCCCGTGTCACAGCAGGGTCCCCACTCCTGTCCCCATGTCACCATGGGGTCTGTCCCCATCCCTGTCCCCATGTCACCATGGGGTCCATCCCTGTCCCTGTGTCACCGTGGGGTCCTTGTCCCCATCCCCGTCCCCGTGTCACAGTGGGGTCCCCGTGTCACAGTACTGTCCCTGTCCCCATCCCCGTGTCACAGTGGTGTCCCCATCCCTGTCCCCATGTCACAGTGGGGTCTGTCCCCATGTCACCATGGGGTCTGTCCCCATCCCCACGTCACAGCGGGGTCCCTGTCCCCGTGTCACAGTGGTGTCCCCATCCCCATCCCCATGTCACAGTGGGGTCCCCATGTCACAGCAGTGTCCCCATCCCCATCCCCGTGTCACAGTGGGGTCCCCGTGTGACGGGGGTGTCCCTGTCCCCATCTCTGTGGGGTCTGTCCCCATCCCCACATCACAGTGGGGTCTGTCCCCATCCCCATGTCACAGCGGTGTCCCCATCCCTGTCCCCATGTCACAGCAGGGTCCCCGTGTCACAGTGGTGTCTCTGTCCCCATCCCTGTCCCCATGTCACAGTGGGGTCTGTCCCCATCCCCACGTCACAGCAGTGTCCCTGTCCCCACCCCTGTCCCCACGTCACAGCGGGGTCCCTGTCCCCGTGTCACAGTGGCCTGTGCCCCCCCACCTTGTTGGATGCCATCTCGCTGACGGCGCGGTGGGTCTGCAGGGTCTCCAGCTGCTCCAGGCACCAGTCCAGCTCCTCCAGTGTCTCCAGTGCCAGCTGCTGGGACGTCTCCTCTGGGGGGGGGACACACAGAGCCGGGGGAGGGGGGCTGGGGCACCCCACGGATTGTGGGGGGGACACA